ATACAGGTGTTTAATTTGCATATTCAGTGCTCTTTTTAATAGGAGAGACCGATTTTTCGCTAAACGAACAGTAATTAAACATTAAAGATCTGAACGTTTGCTCTAAAACCAAATTGATTGTCGGTTTACAGTTAATATTTTTTTATTACTACGAATAACGAACTCGATTAGCATTTTCTTGCACTGCTATTATTATTTTTCTAACTTTCTAACAAATAAGCTACGATTTAAAATTCCTAACCTTCAAAAACTCAATAAGAGATTTTCCTGATGAATATCTGGGACACCCTATGTTAGCTTACAAGAACAGCTCACCGAAATATACAGTTACCTTGTTTGTACGAAAAGAAAAACGAATAAATGATTAATTTTCGATCTACCTATACTACGTATATGAAAAAATATGAAAAAAATAAAGAAAAACAATTCCTAACCTTTCAGTTTTACAATAGATACAAGAGATATATATTCCTGGTAACACTGCAAATTTACATTTAGCTCTTAAGTAAAATCTCTTATAGTCTGCATATATCCCGGTCCCAAGATATCGTTTATGTGATTTCTCCTTCTCAATTATTGTATCTTTATAACCATAACTAGAAGGCTGTGATTCTGTTGTTAGTTTCTTTCACATTTCTATTGCGATATAGAACGCATAGACAACTATAGCTTTTGTATTTAAGGTTTTCATATATTGTACAGGGTGTTCGTAATTTTCTGTGCTATATTGTAAAACGTCATAGGTGTCTCAAATATGTAGTCATCGACTTCAAATTTGGCAGGGAAGTAAAAGTCCGTAAGCACATCTAAACAGTTGAAATTGAGCGTAGTGAAATGTCACCAAATATATTTTTTTTTAAATTCAAAAATTTTCTTTGCTTAATTTGTCTTCCAGAAAATCATGATTTTCTCAAAAACTATTCAACCGATCGGCAAAATTTTAGAGCCAGAAAATGTGGGAGATCCGTACTGTAGGCATTTTTTTGATTATATACAGCGTTTTTCAATTGTGGACAAAAATCTAAAAGACCGTGAAAGTTGTACTATTTTTTGAATGAATTATTAACCGCAAATCAAAATTCGTAAAATATATGGCCAATCGGTTCAAACAGTGTTATAGGCCGTATCAAGAGTAACAATTTTTTTTACGGTTTTCGTCTATCACATACGCTGTTCGAGATATTTGAAAAAATCTATATGAAAATCGCTGATTCTCGCCCCCAACCTAGACCCGATGACGTCATTTACTATTACCACGTACTGCATGGTTTCAGAAAACCAATATTTTCTTGAAAACCACTTACTCCATTGAAAAAAAATCAAATACCAGGAAATACACAAAACCTTCCTGCAAAACTCGCATGGGAAGCCAAAAACCTCTCCAGTGTTCTTCGGCTTTTTAAAATACAGTTTGTAGCATGTGGCTGGCATTGTGAGGTTAGGCCGCACTCTATTACTTCAAATATTATGCAACAAATTTGATAAACTCCACTTTAGTCACGTGCAACGCAACGGAGCAAGTGTTTCACAAACGAGAAACTGAAGAAGTTTATTAATGTGTTGCTTACGTACTTTTTCTATGACCATTACTTTTTGGGTCTGTGATGTGACTGCCAGATTTGACAAGTTAAAATATCCGATCGCTGACAAAGTCAACTAAAGTATCGGAAATGTTCGGGGTGACTCGCGATCGTGAGACGTCTTATGGTAGGTACTTATTAGAGCATTAGAGCCATTACCACTAGGGGAAAGAATAAAACATCAAGAAAATTATTGGCAAGATTTTTGTTTTTACGGGGTCAAAATGGAAAACTACTGGTTGATATGGACAGCATTTATCTGAAAAATTTCGGAAGATTGTCGGCAGCAGACTATGCAATACCATAGTATGTCTTATGGGACCTAGAAATTGTAGAACAGATACCCAGTCCCGCAAAGCTATACCTGCCAGGATTGCTTAGCTATATTACCGTTGTTAGCGACATGAGACGCATATACAAATTTACGATATATTTTGTTTAATTTCTAAATAATAGAAATCATCAATCAATTAAAGGCAAGTATTTAATTCAGTATCTTTAAATTTTGCAAATTCCAGAAAATGCGTCGATTACAAAGCACTGGATATTGTTCATTAACTGAGGCTCGAACTGAAGGCACTTTTCTCTATTCCACTCCATTGCGTTCAAAATACCATAACAATGAAAACTCTGCGCGCTCGGTTTGTTTAGTTTGTTCGGAAAAGAATGCATGGGTTTCCACCATTCAAGTGACACTTTTTTTGAGCTTGGTCAATACATAATTGAATATTTTAGAGCATTGATTAAGAAAAAAAAACATGTATAATCCAAAAACTACTTTTAAAGGTTCACGTGAAAGTTTTTGCTAATTTGTTATTATAATCGACGTTCTATCATCTGTTATAAATTGCTTATAATATACAATGCGAACTATCCTCTATATCTAATATAATGATTAAAAAAACTATACTCCGAAATTTACGGAATTTGTGGCGTTGAGAAGCGCCAAAGCAAGCACAGAAAAATAAAAAATAAAATGGAAATAAATAAAAACCAAATTTATGTTGCACCTTTGTGCTATGAGTTGTAATTATAAATGATTAAGTGATTTATTAACAATATAATTACTGGTTTGCAAATTGAGATGTTGGGATAATATGCAAATTTGGAATAAATTATTGCCGTGGGTGGTACGGAGAAATGTTTTTACGACTGAAGCGGTTATTAGCAAGTCATATCGCGGACTTGCATTAAGTCGTTTTGGAACGGTTTCCCGAATGATTTAGAATAACCTTTAGCTTAAAACGTGTATACGTTTGCCATTTCAAATTCCCGTTAAAATGATTGGGTTTAGAAAAATTGAAGTTAAAAGAATATGTTTTTATGACTTCTCAGTAAAATGAGATACATCGTAAATGTGTGTTTAAAATTATTAGTAGAACGCTCTACACCGATTTTTCTTAATTATATCTGATAAGAAAATATAAAGGCTCAAAACACATCAATTCTCACGAACGTTTACATTGTAGATTTCGATGTTTTTCTTGAAAGGATAAGCTGCTAATCCTTAGTAGTGTGAACCCATAGGTTATTTTCAGAAGAAAAGTTCAATGACACGACAGAGTGCTAAAAATTTTATTAACAAATTCTTTGTTATTAATAATTTAACAACTTTTCAAGTCCTAAATATCTCTAGAACGGCTGGTCATTGCGGCCTAAGGCAAATATCCTTTTTTGCTTGCAAATTTTATATAAGTGCAACAAAGTCATCACTTTTAAAAGAGACCATGTAGGTGCACTCCTTTGCAAGTAGACAGAGCAAAAATTAATTCGAATTTAGTCTAATATTTGACGTGGTATTGCAAATTTGGATTGAGATATCAATATTACTTCATATAATATGCAGAAAAATATAAATAACTTGTAGCTCCAAAGTTACTAGTGTCTTATTCTGAAACTATTTTATCATTTCAGTAACAGTTAACAGTCAAAGTAATAACATTAATTTCAAAACTCCGCATAGAATTTGGCATTTACCAATTAGAACAAAATTAATTTGGCGCCTTCGCCTATATATCATGAAATTCTTGTGATAGAAGATCACCAAAAACGGACCATATTTTTTGTTGTTAAAAAATTTTTACTCGGTATCAACGGACAACAAAAAAGCAACAGCGTTAAAAAATAAAAAACAAACATGCCAAGTGATGGTAAGTGCCGACTGGCCGTCGTGTAGTTTCTTCGCCGCAAATTATAAACGCACGCAGACATCAATAACCGTATTGAATGTAAAGAGGCCCCGCCCATTGCAACACGTATAACTCATTATTGCACTTTGAGAGTCAAATCTTCGGTGCTGACAATGCTTCATCTTCATAATTCGAACAATTATTCAAATATTCAAAATAAAGATTTGCCTTTAAAGCCTGTTCAGTTGCGTCCTACACACATCATGTCTATTGAATATCGTCGTTCTTGTGACTGATGACTTTAAGGATATAAATACCGAATCAACCACATGGCACGCAATGTAGACAAAAATGTCTTCAGGCGTTTAAAGTCGCTGACGTACAATCCTCAGGAAAAATTTCAACGACTTCAAAGAGTCTACATCACTGACGCTAAATTCTCAGATTTTGATTGTCAGTTTCTGATGTCCAAGATTTCTACCGAAAGATTTCTTTGCTGAGTGACAGTTTAGAATAGTTTCGTAATCAAATCCATATAGTTATATAGACACCGTACTGTTTGTGGGTAACCTTCACGGCGATATTTCAAGAAAGCGCGAACTGGGATAATTTCCAAATATGTTGCGATAAAGAGTTCCGCAATTTTGATAGATTTAAAAACTCCATGAAGATGACAACACTAGTCATTTTGGATTGCAAGTATCGGTAAATTTTGTTGCGGTTGCGCACCAATTGTGATTAACGATATGAACAGGTATTTCTAAAGGCAAATTGCTAATATTACTTAATTATAGCATCATAAACAAAGAAATATAGTTTATTATGGTTGTGTAATTTGTGTTATTATTAAAAAATAAAGCGTCCAGTAATTATAAAAAACAACCCTGCTCCCGTAGAAAATAATGTGGCTGGGATAAAAGTGTTTCCATATATCCCATTTAGATAGATTTAAACCATTTTATAGCGATGTCTATTTAACAAGTGTGAACACAAATTACTTTTTCCAGATTGTTCATGCTACAAAACCCAATCTGATAGATGAAAACATCCCATAAAAGTTTTAAAGCGGAAATTTTGGTATATATAGATACCTACGCTAACAATTTAGCTACAATTATCGATCCTGAGTTTTATTAAACAAATTAAGTACAGAAGTAGGCATTTTCTTTTGGATATTTCTTCGCACATTGATATTAGTTGGCAACGTATGCGTTTAAGGGTGATCTGGATGTCTTCTTTAGATAAAATGCCATTGATATTAATAATCAAAAAATAATTCACAAAATCCTACCTGAACTCGGTCGATCTGAATATCTAGTGCAGTAAACCCAGGCCGGCCACAGCATCGGCTGCTTTCCAGCACCACCTTGGTCGTCGGAAGACGCCTTTTTATCGCTAGATACCCCCTCCCCTTTACTCAAATCTACGGGCCCAACTGAAGCGGGGCCATTTTTAACTCCGTCTAAACTTCTCCCCAATTCCAAGTCGACGCCGCTGTTACTGGAATCTGTAGAATGTTTTCTTGGAGGTGGTTTGGTTTTCCTTATGGTTATAGGGTCCGTTATCCGGCTCCTACCGAAGTCTGCTTTGAGGATGTTGTCGATCGAAAATTTAAGTGTGCCATTATTTGTGGACGCCGACGCTTCGTTAACGGGATGATTTTTCGACGACTCGCGACGCTGGGGGTGGTAATGGGGCGAGTAAAGGGGATCGTGGTGATGGTGTCTGAAATGACGCCGAATTAATGGCAAAATAAAGGAACAATGTCACGTGGATACGAAAATGCTTCGTTTCTGAGACACGTGTTAACTTTTTGGAAAAAAAAGTTTTAATTTTAATTTTTTAATTTAAAATGAATAGGCTGATTTATGAGATATAAACAATTTTCAAACCTCTTGACCGATTACATATTTGATGCCTACATAATTCACACCCTATATCTCGAAAATGTTCGGATGAACAGTATTCCGTAATTGATAGAGCGGGATCTTTACTAGAATTTTGTCACTTCAGCTCTAAATCAACCTGCTCAAATGATTCAAAAGAAATACGTGAAACGACTTTCTTTCTGACAATTAATTGACACAAACTTGCAAAAAAATAACATCATATTATTCACATCAGTTAAAATTCCAACAAAATCTTTACCTATTTTTGGATAACAAAATAACAACCGTTTACTGCCTTTTATTAAAACTTAAACCAACTAACCCAAAGGACACGAAAAATGTACCAAATTTAAGCGCAAATTCAAATTTAGATACTTGAACAATAATATCAAAAAAGGTTAAAGTATTCAAAAAAAAAAACACTAGGTATTTACTAACAGGATTGTGATATATCAACCAAAATGACACTTCTTACGCTGTGGTTGTACTAAAAACTAAATCAAGAAATACCATACCATATTATCTATCTTAGAACAAGTATATTAATATGAACATATGGAACATGGAAATGAAAGTCAAAGTCTTTCTTTAAATAAAACAATTACATAATATATATTCTCCGTTACCTTTTATCGAGGCATTGGTTTTATTAACAATTAATAAACTACCTGATAAAATGATTTAATTCTTTACTTACGGAGCAGTAAAACATTGGAAATAAAATCTCGTCTTTTTAGTGGCAATCTTGCCACAAAATAAATGAAAACTAGACATTATTCTGCGCTTTGCATTTTGTTACTTATTCTTGTTCTTTTTTATAAAATGTGCAAATTCTTATTTAAATTCCAGTAATTGCTCAATAAAAAACCTCAGTGTAATACATTTATGGCTTATTTTGATATACTGCAGAATCTTTGCACCACCTATACAATCTAATATACAATATTAATATTTTCTAATATTCCAGATTTTTCCTGACTTTCAGGTGCCATTTTCCAGGCAGATTTCGATAAACAAAATACAAAAAGAAGCATTATTCTTAAGGGATCACAGAAATCTTCAAATTTCATTAAAAATTAAGTTCTGAAAAATTTTAAGAGTGATCACTTTTTTGATTTATTCACAAACATAGTTAAAAACAACATCTGTTTAGAAACAGGATCTAAAATATGATCTTCATGTTATGTTATTGTAAACAAAAGACTGTATACTTTTTGTGAAAGTTTCTTTGAAAAATTCAAAGACTGTGTAGTTGTATAGTGTACTGTATAACTTCTTCCTAAAATTATTAAACCCTGACTTTTAATGTGGAGCTAACTTTCCATGTTGAATTTCTTCTTGAAACTTTTAACCTACCTTGGACTGTCTGGCGATTCAGGATCACTCACAGAACGCGGCGAACACAAATTCGAATTTTCACCCACAGTCCTGAACAAAAATCCCATCGGGGGAGGAGACTCGATACCAAACGATTTCGAACTACTACTGGGACTCAGTCTACTATTACTGTTCACTTTGGGACTAGATACGCGATTTTCCAAATTCAAGGTGCTGTTTGTGATTTGCGAAAGAGCGTTCAAGTGGTTCTCGATATTTTTAAACGACAACGTCGGAGTAGTCTCAGTACTGGCCTCATCTTGTGGAGGTTGATTTTCGTTCTCGTTTCCGACCGAAAGAACTGTTTCATCGCTACAACAGCTGGTGTCATCTATGTTTGGCGAATCTCTGTCAAAATTCTCACTAGACGAGTCCATAGAAACCGACCCATCCGTACTTCGTTGACTGAAACTATGGTGATGAGGTAACATGGCTAGATTACCTGTTAGGGCGGCCATTTTCACAGCCCTTAATGAAGCATATTAAAGAGGATTTATCAACCTGCCGTGCACAAACAAACACCACACCGTTCAGTTCATTATTGACAACAATATTTTTGGACGCGTTATCGATAACTAACATTTAATCGATCCTAACCGACCGGCTTTCCGTTGCACTCTGACTGTTCTGAAACGGCCTAAAGGCGGAGCTAGGGTTCCGGAGGCGCGGCAAAATAGGCGGAGCCGCGTTCAATGGCGAATCATTTTCCGTTTTAACGAGTTTTTTGTGGGATGCGGTTTTATTTATAGAACAAAGCATGAAAAAAGTGGTAGGAAAAGAATCTCCGAGAATATTACACCAAGTACGTATTACTTTGCCAGGTTGTTTACTGCATCGGTGATTTTTTTGATGTTATGTCTTGTTTGAATTAGGTTTTCGTCAGTCGAATTCAATTTTGGTAAATAGATGACGCGTCTATATACAGATATATTCCCACCTATGCGGCACGCGAGGAAACTTTTCATTGTCGCTTGTTTGTAGATTCTCGGTATTACATATTTACCATTAAAAAGTATAACTAAAATATTAAAACTAGTCTTTGGTTGATCGATTGTTTTTGCATTGAGAACGTAGCTTCGAGCATATAAAGTACTTACGAAGTGAACTGTATCGGTTCAGGATGATCAGATCCCGCATGAATATTTATAATATAAAGATAGATAACGTCGGGTCAGTTGTTGACACCTTCCTGCATTATTGCATTATTCACTATAACTATTAACATTGGTGTGGCTGAAGGGCTATTACAGTAGGTATCAGTGATTAAATTAATTTCTTTTTCTTAAAGATTTTTTTTATTGCTTACTATGTGTATTATATTGTTATATTTTGTAGTTATTGGTTTGCAGATAATTAATATACGAACAGTAATCCGCAGGACGTTTAATTGTGTCTCATCGGAGGTGTAGGATAGCAACAATTGGTGACGAGGATGGGATATTGGATTTTGTTTTTGATTGGATCCTGCAGAATTGTGGACGGCTATTTATTACGTAGATAAATAGTTCGTTTCTTTTTTGCCCTTAATGACAAATACCACTAGCAGGTAGCACATAGGTATTGTATTGAATTGTAATTAATAAACAAAATGAGCGAGCGTTGACAAGTCTAATGTTGCATCGCATTCAATTGTGATAGATGGGGATCCAAAGTGAACACCGTATGTCATACGGATAATCGAGAACAGTGCTCCTAGGGCAATAACCGCGCACTAGGAAAAACGATAAATGAACAATAGCAACCCACATTTTCCAATTCGTTTCGAACTTTCCAACTTGGGACCAATCTTACTGAGATCAAACAAAATTGTGATATGTTCGTATATATCAAGGAAAGTTTGGAGAGAGGGCAGAGTGAGCTCCTGGGATGGACTTGTCTGGTACACGGACGGGTCCAGAATGGGAGATCTGGCCGGAGCTGGAGCGTACTGCGAGACAACGGGATCGAGCTTGTCGGTCCCTCTGGGTCAGTACTGCACTGTGTTTCAGGCGGAAATTTTTGCTTTATTGATGGCGGCCAGAGAGGTGCTTCGGCTCAACCACGGAACCAGGAGAGTCTTCTTCTGCTCGGATAGTAGGGCTGCACTCATGGCGCTGAAGTCAGTGCGTACGCGCTCCTTATTGATAAAGGAGTGCAAAGGGGTACTGAGGTGGGTGGCTGAGAAGAGAAAGGTCACGTTGGTCTGGGTCCCGGGTCACACCGGTATCCGGGGCAATGAGGCAGCGGACGCCTTAGCCAGAGAGGGCTCCTCGCATAGGCATATAGGGCCAGAGCCCCGCTTGTGGATCGTCCCGTGTGTGAGGCGGGGAGCTCTCGAAGCCGGGGCGAGAGACCGGGCCGCGGGGGGCTGGAGAGTTGCTCCGGGAATGAGGCAGGCGAGGCTGATGATAGATGGGCCCTCCCTTCCTCGGACCAGGGAGCTGCTTAGACTGACCAGAAGGGAGTGTAGAGCACTAACAGGGACCTACACAGGACATTGCAGGCTTAGGAGGCATCTTTGCTTGCTAGGCATTGGAGACGACCCGGAGTGTAGGTGGTGCATGGAAGGGGAGGAGACCCCGTATCATCTGCTTACCGAGTGCCCTGCCTTGACATGGGCAAGACTGGGTGTCTTCGGAACGGCCCTGATCGATCCGGACTCAGTGTACGGTATTGGGCTAAAGGAGCTGCTGACCTTCTATAGGAGGGGCGGCATTCTGGACGCCCTCTAGAGCGGCCTGGGGGCACAACGGGTCTATCTGGTGGCCTAAGTGCTTGGACGCCCGCGAGGGCGCCCCCCTTTAATACCAATACCAATAATGTGTATTATATTGTTATATTTTGTAGTTATTGGTTTGCAGAGAATTAATATACGAACAGTAATCCGCAGGACGTTTAATTGTGTCTCATCGGAGGTGTAGGATAGCAACAATTGGCGACGAGGATGGGATATTGGATTTTGTTTTTGATTGGATCCTGCAGAATTGTGGACGGCTATTTATAGATAAATAGTTCGTTTCTTTTTTGCCCTTAATGACAAATACCGATAGCAGGTAGCACATAGGTATTGTATTGAATTGTGATTAATAAACAAAATGAGCGAGCGTTGACAAGTCTAATGTTGCATCGCATTCAATTGTGATAGATGGGGATCCAAAGTGAACACCGTATGTCATACGGATAATCGAGAACAGTGCTCCTAGGGCAATAACCGCGCACTAGGAGAAACAATAAATGAACAATAGCAACATACCGAGAAAAACCCACATTTTCCAATTCGTTTCGAACTTTCCAACTGGGGACCAATCTTACTGAGATCAAACAAGATTGTGATATGTTCATTCTTGCGGCTAAGAGTTTTAGAACTAGCACATGAAGGACATCCGGGAGCCAGCGTGAAGAAAAGGCAATTACGGTCGAAACTCTGATGGTCTCTTATCGGCAAGAATGGGGACACTTTCGCCGCCTTATTGGCCCCAAACTAATGGAAAGGTGGAGAATATGAATAAGTCGATTCTGAAGAGGCTCCAGATTTGTCAAAATAATAATAATTATTTTAAAGCGGAAACCCAAAAGTTTATAACGTTGTACAATCTAACTCCCCATGGGAACTTCAGAAGGATCCAGGAGAAGATTCCATCAATTACTGACATCATAGGAGAGCAGGTGGATAAGGAAGCTCAGGACACAGACGTCATAAATAATCAAAAAGGAAAAAGACGGGAAGACGAAAGTAGAAAACCAAAACCTTATGACATCCAAATTGGAGATAAGGTGGTAATACAAAATATGGCGAGACCCATGAGCTTTTGCACGCGGCACATGCCATGGAAATTATTCCACCGTATGACAAGGCGGACCAAAATCAATTGGACTGGTATTCCGCTGGATGTCGAGTGTTCCCCCCAGATCGAGACGAATCAACTGCAGCTCGACAACTGCACCGTTCGGCATGGCCCCTTCGCTCCAAGCCTCCGGAGGCAACGGAACGACCAATACGTTAGTGGTGTTTAGTCCGAAATACTCCAATCGAGTATACGGAAAGCATTACGACGTCGTCAGGCAGTCAGTCGTCAGTTTCGTTACCTACGGCTGCGAGCCACTTGGGACATTTTTGGGATATTACCAGGGCAATCGTTTATTAAAGCACTTGCTCCGGTCGTGCCAAATAAGCTCGTGACTCAAATGCCGTTTACACACACCTTCTGCATAATATAAAAAAATATATCTTCCAAAGCAACAAACTAAAGTAATATCTATCTTTCAAATTATTTTATATAAAAATGTAGGAATAAACTAAACTAAATTGGATTAATGCTTGGCTATATATCTTGGCTATAAAGTTTAAGTTTTAACTAGAATAATTCTTCAGCCACGACATCAGGAATAATATACGTATAGTGTGTAGTCCTTCACGGATGGAAGGTGGTATTCATCCGTTCATTGTTAGATCCTAGAGTAGGATCGATTGTCTGACGTTTCGCGAGAACTTCATCTGGCATCTAGCATAAATGTGCAGACTCGGGACACGTAAATACAAGTGACATGGACTTGCAGTTTCTGAAAATGCCAGCGAAATGTCAGGCAACCGATCCTGCGCTAGGATCAAATAACAACCGGATGAATACCCAATACAAATATATTAATTAGGTATATACGGGATACTTTCACGGTGAGCCCCAACCTTAGTTCACTTTATCAAATTCAGAATTTAAAAAATCTGCCTCCACGAGAAAATTTACAATTTCAGCAATTGAGGAAATCACCTTTTTACTTACTTACTTCAGAAAAAGATATTTCTTTGAATTTTCTTAAAATATTCCTGAAGCTCTATTACAAGTACCTGCGGTGAAGCTTTTGTTTTTTATTTTAATGAAATGAAAAAAAATATATTTTTAAAATAGAAAAACTTACGTAATCGAACCAATTTCTGACTGCCTTCCAAATTCCTAGCGAATCACTCGCCCAGAGCGATTTCGAGAGATGGTTAGCTTCAAATGAAGAAACAGAGTTACGGTACAGTTGTTATTCGATTGGAAATATAGGTTCTGGTATGTGTGCGAAGTTTTCTCAAATGAATCCACAACTTTTATGTTGAATCGTCTTTGATATTTTCTAAGGTAATTTTTTTAAAGTTTGGTCATATTAGATATATGTAAATTATATTCAGACACACTCAACTCTTTGATTATGTTGAAAATATGTCTCTATCACTATGCTCCCTTTACTCTAAGCATCTAACGTAGGTACGTCTATATGTACCGATTTAGGTCAATAATGAGCAATATTGAATAAATAAATAAATAATCTAATAGTGATATTTGGAACTCAGCTATACCTATATAGACAGAAACAAATCACCAATGAAAACCGCTTTGCTTATATTTTCTTAACTGACTCAATCATTCTTCTTATAAAAAATCTTAATAAAAAAATATGGAAAATTCTATGTTAAATATCACAAAATAAAACTTTTCTTACTTTGTCCCAACACACCGGAATAAACTTCAGTTCAGTAAAAATAAGTTATTAGTTGAACAACGACTACTGTAAACAAAATCATTCGAGCTTAATTGAAAAATAGCTGATACTTCTAGGCGCTTCAATTATTTTTTTCTCGCTTCGA